TACTTGTGTCTTTGAAAGAAAAGCATTTTTACTGAGTCTGAATTTTGTGCCTGTTCTCAGGGCTGTTTATTATCATGGAAGACAAAATGTTTTCTTTAGGCTGGTGGTCCTTTAGTGATTTCCATGTTTTTTCTTTCTCCCTTCCTTTCTTTCTTTCTGAGAAGAAAGAGCAAAGTGTGGAGGTAGAGATGAATACCCGCTAATAAATTTAACATAAGAAAAAGGTTTCTGCCCTGCCTCCAGGTTCTAATAATACTTGGTTCTGTGAAATTTTGCCTTTAAATATGAATGCTGACGATTTTAAAAAGTGAAGCATAGTTTCCAACTGAGTTAGTAAATAGGTATTGATTGTGCCATGATATGATAGGGAGAAGCCAGATTCTGCTGTTCACTGAAATAATAATCTGTAATGTGACGTATCAGGTACCTCAGCAAGCACTTTCTGGGTTCTTCCGCTTTTCATTAAGCAGAGTTTAAGGTGAACTGTGAGGCCTTGGTTCTGGGGAGTGCATTAACACATTGCTAACTCTGGACTTTGGCTCTGGTGGCACTCCAGTGGCTGCTCCCTGCTTGTTGTGGTGCTTTTCTTAGTGGAGACCAACTTAATGAAATACTGGAACAGCAACAGAGCTTGCAGATTTTGTGCAGCTTTGCAAACACGTGGCTTCAAGCTGCTCCGCGCCACGTTGGCAGCAGAGCTCCTCTTGGACCATACACCCAGTTCGCCCCACTGCCTTGTGAACATCCTCATCCTTCTGACCTCCTGTTTCCTGGCTGTCCATGAGGTCTGTGTGCTTGAGCCCACATCAGCTCTGTCCTCCTCTGTGTCAGTGTCCGATGTGTGCTATGTCACGTTGCTCTTGGAGTCAGAAGTCTGAGCTGTTTTTGCCGTGACTGGTATAACTCAGCCATAATTCCCTGCTGTAGGGCTTGGACTGTGGTTTCCCTTCATCTCTGCACAGTCCAAAGTATTAATGACTTGTCCTTGATGCAGATGTATAGTTACTGTCTCCTCCTGCTCCTGTATCTTCTCTCCTCCTGCAGAAATGTTGCCCTAACAGTGTTTGCAACCCTGATATTGCTGATACTCAACTTGGCCAAATCCAGGCATGTGGGAAGACTTCCTGTACTTGTCCTTTATTTAAGCCAGATTAACCATCTCTTCTGTTTTACCTGCTATGTGTAACTATCCCTTACCTCATATTTTAGTCTACTTGTCTACTTCGTAATTGCATTGACTCTTTGAGGGTCGCATGAGTCGTTTCTGGAATGCAGGGTGCTAAAATTGAGTCTCTTGATGGGATGGTGGGACAAGCCCAGGAGCTCTCTTTGGTTGTTTATCACAGCCACAGTTACATCAGCCTCTGTCTTGATGCCCCTAAGATTTTCAGACTGCTTCCTCCATTCTCAAAGAGCCTGGTGTCAGGGAGAAGTGCTTTCTCCAGCACTGCTAAAATAGGCTTTCTGAGTTTCTTCAGCTCCATGTTATTCATGTCACATGCGCTCAGCCTTGCTCTGCCTCAGCTGGGTGACAGGAAATCTGCAGAGTTTGAATAGGAAACACTGAGAGGCAAGTGCTGAACTGCACTCCCTTTTCTCAAGAGGCAGGTGGGGAGCTGGGCTGTCTCTGGTGGGCTCAGGCAGCTTTGCAGCCGGAACAGGTCCCTAGGATCACTGAGGAGGAGACAGTCAGGAGAAGCCCTCTCCCAAACAGACTTCTGGTCCAGTGTAAACAAAAAGCCCAGCTATAAGGAATGGTTTGAGCCTCCACTGAACAAGAGATAGAGTCTTTACCACGTTTAGGAGTAGACAGACATTTATTCTGATTTTGGCGGGATGGCAGCGCTGAAGGGTGGGTTGCCCTGTGTTCACGATAATCTGCAGCGGTGGCGGGGCTGGAAGCAGCGGGGGCAGCTGCAGCAGTTCCATCGGACCCGCACCCGGCGTGTGTGCGCAGACACCTCTGCGGGCAGCGCTGCTGTCGTGCAGTTCCAGATCACAGCGCGGCTCCCATCTGATAGCCCCAGAGCCCTGGCTGGCTCGAGCCTCTTCGCTGACGCGCTCCACAGGCTGCTGATCTTACTGTTGATGCTGCCCTGGTTGTTTCAGCATCACTGAGCTATCCTGTCAGTACAATATGGATGTTTTAATTTGTAATATAGTTTGTTCATTGCTTACTCTTGCACTGAGGGACATGCATTGCAACTTCCAGTACAAATCCATTAGTTTTAGAAATATCTTTAAGAATATCTTGAACCCAGGATGGGTTTGTGACTGCTTTTGCTATTTTGGGGATTTTTGAATGACTTTTTCAGTGCTATGATTTTCCAAATTGCGTAGATCAATAGGGGAAAAAGTGCATCTCTTTAACGTTAATGCCCAAAGGAAAAGGAGAATCACTGAAAGATGGAGAGCTGTGTACAGGTAAGGCAAAGACAAGCATGGACTGCAGAAGGAGTGCTTGCTAAACAGTGAGTTAAGCTCTGCAGCCTGACTCTTGCAGAGCACTGGCTGAAATCCCTCACTCGAGCGTAATTTGAGAACTGCGTTAGTGTGGTTGGAAACACAGATAAACCACTTCCAAGCCGCTGAGAACGGGTGATCCTGACATCTCCTGGTGCCTGTGATGCGGAGCTGACCCCAAGCAGCCGGGCTCCGTACTGAGGATACAGAAAGCAGCAGTAGGAGGGGAAGAGCAAGAGAGAAGTCAAAGCTATTAAAATAATAGAGATGAGAAAAACCGGACACGTGTTTCAAAGAGCTGTTGCCCTTGTTTTCATTAGAGACTTGTCTTATATTTACCTGTCCAACTTTGCATGTTTGTTGCTGCAGCTAATTTATAAGACATAATTCCTCTCTACCAGTTGTTTTTTTCATACTGGTTTTTAATGTGAGTTCACATTTGAATTCTTCCTTGGATAGGGGATTTGTAGTGGATCATCTGAAAGATTCTGTGACATCTTTTTAAAATAATATTACAGTGCCTCAACACTTCTGTTTTCATGTAAATCAGGGGAGATCTTGGGATTAATTGGCATGTGTACAGGCAGTTTGTTTCCTCCTACTCTACCAGACTTCTGTAGATCTCTGGGATGTATAAATGTGGTGTATATGTGTATAGTTTGTGCCTTTATGGATATGTACATACATATGTGTGTATATATAAATGTTTGTGGAATGTTAACGCTTTTGTTTTCGTATTTCAGAATGGTTTCACTCCGTTGTATATGGCAGCCCAAGAAAACCACCTGGAAGTTGTTAAATTTCTTCTTGATAATGGTGCCAGTCAAAGCCTTGCTACAGAGGTAAAAATTCAAATTTTGCACTGTATGAACAAAGTAAAATGTGCTTGAGCAGTTATCCTTGACAGCTTTTATCAAATGAGCCTTTTAAATACAGAATTGGAGACCAATAAGATATTCTCTCTGTGGAGTATGCTAATGAATACTGTTACCAACTTGCAGACATTTTAACCATCTCTTGCCACCTCTAAAAAGAACTTTAACTAAAAGCTGTTCTAAAAATAGATGTATTCTTAACATGAAAGACTCCCAGTTATGATTAAGTGCTTCAGCAGGCAGCTGCATGCAAGATATAAAAGTTCTCTATAGTTTCATTAGAACTATTGAGCAGAGTAATGTTGAGGACAGCCATAAAGGAAGAGAATCTGTTTATCTTCTTTGGAGGCAGCTCTGGGATATCCAGGGAAATCCTAGGCTTACTTAGTGCTTAGAACATTTGAGCTGCATTTGTTGCCACCTTGATGCCCACACTGCTGTACCTGGCTCTCCCATCTGGTCTTGCAGTGAGATTTTCAAGCAGATGGAAGGATACAGGGTCCATCCTCAAAGGTGTTTGAGGACTCTTTCTAGAAGAGCACTTTTATTTCTTGCCACTAAGAAGTAAGCCTGACCTAAATAAGGCAACTTGGAAGGAAAAGGGGAAGCATCTGGGAAGATTATAAGAATAGCAGGCATTTCAATTTTATTAAATATACTGTATTGAGATAAGTTTTCAATCTGATTAATTTTTAGTTATCTTTATTTCAAAATTTGGCTAAAAATGTAGTTCAGTAATTGCTTTCTGTAAACTTTGATTAAATTCTGACTAATGTATCTGAGCTGAATCCATGAAGGAAATAACCCTTAGTTCAGAAAGCCCCAATTGCAACATATGAAATAAAATTAGCTTATTTCATCAGTATATATTATAGTATCACTAGATAATGACTTGTGTATGGAATTTTTATTAGTCCCTTCTGAAGTCAGTGCTATAAAACAAACCACAACGAATCAAAATTATGTTTTGAAAATCACTAATAAGTAGTTATAACTGGAGGTGTGCCTCAGAAATTCTGGAAATGCACAAATATATGAAGTCAAGAAAGGCCAAAGTGAAATATTTTAAATCTGGAAAATTAATTGAAAACTGTGGTTTCCAGAACGCTCATTTCTGTTTCTTTGTAAAAACTGGGAAACCAGGAAGTCATGGGACTCCCCAGAGTCCTACAACCAGATGTGACTTTTGGAAACGTTAGTTGTATCATTTTCTGAAACCGGTTGTATGTAAAGTTGTGCTCGGCTGCCTCCTGCTTTTCCTGCTCTTTGCTTTTCCCTCAAGCTGGGGGCGGCAGCTCAGCCTGCATGTTTCTCCAGCTCAGGCTGGTGATGAGCTGGAATCTAATTTTATCCATGGCAAATTCCTGTGAAGATACCAGGCCACGGGATAACGTAGTCACTCTTACCTCACTTGGTTGCGGTAGATACTTGTGGGTACTCTTTTATTTTCTCCTGGTCAGATTTTTAAGAACAATCTAACTTATCTTTCTCACTGTAAGTGTAAAAGCCTTTGTTACTAAACTATGCCTGTAGACCTAAATATTTGATAATAAAACCCTTTAACAGAGCTGTTTTAATGGGAGGAAAAATAGTCAGCCTTTTCTTCAAATTGATTTCAGCTCGGCTGTTTTTCCAGGCTGAGGGTTGCTTGCTCTATGCTTTAAAGCAGGGGGAGAAGGAAAATCCTATCAGCATCTAGCTGTTGCATTCTTCACTTTATAAAAATCTATTAAAATACAATTTTATGAAAGCATCTTAGAATGTACTTTTGAGTGCTGAGTCCATTTAAAGTCTATTAAACATTATCTTCTGCTTTTCAGGTCTCTTACTCTGCATTTCTTTGGTTGCAACTCTGCAAGTCTTAGTATAGATAATTAGAGGATTGTCTATTAATTTTTCTGTGTTAATTTTCATCAGTGGAAATGTTTCCTTTATAATTGTAGTAGAAAAGTTGGTATATTGGGAGAATTTGCAGTTACTTTGCAAATTTTATTGGGCTTATAATCCACATATTTTTTTAAAAAAAAAAGTGGATAGAGATGAGGCATGAATCTGCTTTTCTTTTCCCCTGAAAAGCGTAGATGATTGCTTCTAGCTGTGAGGGGAAGGACAGTAATTGGCTATGGAGGCATCTCTGTCATTTGTATTTTAACATCTTTTCAGCTTTTTACATCTCTATATGCTTGCATGCTTTATTCTGTAAGTACATATATATGCAAATGTTAATCAGTGAGTAATCTTGCTTTTTTTTCCAAGTGTCATTCCATTTTGTTTGTGTTCCAAGCTTTTATGTTTGTTTGAAGGGTCAGTTAGATGAGTTAAGCATTTGGGGCCTAATTTGTCAACACTTTACTCCAATATTAGTGTTGTTGAAAGGTACTTTTAATTTGCACCATTATACACTGTGAATTGGAGCTAGCAGTGTCGCTAATGCTGTCATCTCTTCCTTCCCCTTCCCACCCTGGGCAATCCTGGAGTATCTGCTGAGAGGCCCCGTTTGTTCTGTGTTGCAGGATGGTTTCACGCCCTTGGCGGTAGCTTTGCAGCAAGGGCACGACCAGGTGGTTTCGCTGTTGCTTGAAAATGATACGAAGGGAAAAGTCCGTCTTCCTGCTCTTCACATTGCTGCCCGCAAGGACGACACGAAGGCGGCAGCTCTGCTCCTGCAGAACGACCACAACGCTGACGTGGAGTCAAAGGTCAGAGCTAAAAAGAAATAAGGTTCAATGCTGCCTTGGGTGCTGACCACCTCTTACATCCAGTGCAGTATTTTGCTGCAAAGTTATATGTAATTTCTCCTATAGTGTGTGATTAAAAATAAGTTCTGTTTGTTTCTTCCTTTGCCTCTTTCTCCCTATCCCCTTTTTTAAATCAAAGCTAACTCTCCCGTAGTAACCTTGCAAATGGAAAATAATGACCAAGAAACTATTAAAATTATCCTCTTGGGAATGAAAGCCGCTACTGCAGCAGTGTGCCATAAGCATCAAATAATAAAATCGTTGATCAGTTGTTTGTGATCTCGGAGCTTTCAGAACTCTGATAAACATGTAACAATTAACGTGTAAGAGCCACGATCATTCAGCTTGCATTCAGTCGAGCTTCCCCTCGGCGCCGCGTGTGCTGTCTCAGAGCTGCCATGCCACGTAGCAGTCATGAAGCTTTCTGCATCCATATCACCAGTGGTGAACTAACCGTTCATTTTTTCCCCCCTCTTTGCTTCCAAATGTGTTAACCTAGATGATGGTGAATAGAACAACAGAGGTATATATAAATATATATATGCATCATCACTCCTTCATGACTTAGTGCTGCTGCATCATTTCTTCTTCCTCCTTTCTGCATTGCCTTTTATAGGATAGATACCTGCTTTAGAGTAAATGAAGTAGCATGTGCTAGAGAAGACTGTAGTTTAGATAGCAGGGCTTTCTGCAGCTGAAACTAGGGGTTAAAAGTAAGAGTAAGCATTCTTTGGAACTAATTGCCATCGTTAAAGCATTGCATTACATAAGACAGAGTTTTCAGGGATTCTCCTGCCGTGGATGTTTATCAGATGTGTCAAGAGCTGCAGACAACCCTGTCATGTTGTGTGCATCCAGGACTGATCTTCTAGGCTTCTGCATGACACTTATGTTGATGGTGTCAGCAAACAGAATGATCTGAGAGTGGTTTTAAATCTGCAGAACTCCCAAAGCAAGGCGGTGGCAGCTAGCATGGCTTGCTAACAATTTAGAAATGCATCTAGTTCCCATGAGGTATCATACTTTGCAGGACTGATGGAATTGCTGCATGTTTTAGCATTATTTTAAGAGGAAATAAAACTACTTAAATATGAAAATAAGTTGCTGAAGTGATGTTATCACTAAGGCATCTTCTAATTAGGCTGACAACTTATGGTGTCTGAACATAACCCAGTGTGATTGCCCACAGTGGGGGACTGATCTTTATGGTACTAACCCTTGGAAAAAAATCCATATTAATCATTTAAAATGGTCTTTGATGTTGTTTTCATTTGCATCTACTTTGAATTTATAAAATCCAGTTAGCAAGTATATCAAGTGACTTGCATCTGAACTCCAGCAAAGAATCTCTAAGAGATTTAAGTTGCAGAACTGACATAATACAGATAACAAATAGGTATTTCTAGTTAGAAATTAATATCTTATAAGAGACAAATCACTGCTTTTAATACTCAAATGTTTTGCTCGTGTTTCTGTGGAATTAATTGAAAGTTTTATCCTAGTTCTGATCTTCTAGAATAATTACGTTAATTTCTTTTCCTTCCTGCACAAAAATATAATTTTATTTAGACTCTCAGAGGGTCTATAAATAAGTATCAGTGAGTAAAAACTAGTACAAAATTGGAATGGTGACTTGCAGTAGACTGCTTACTAGCATTTGACAGGGGTGTAATGCAAATTTTGGAGTACCAAGGAGATAAATATATATATATATATATATATACACACATATATTTATAAAAAGTATCTACTGGTTTTGTTGTGTTTTTTTTTTCCAGAGTGGGTTCACTCCGCTCCACATAGCTGCTCACTATGGAAATATCAATGTAGCTACATTGCTGTTAAATCGGGGTGCTGCTGTGGACTTCACTGCAAGGGTAAGAATGATGTTTTAGTTATGCTCAGTTTGCTTAGTCTCTGCTTTGAAACACTTGCCTGCCCGGCATGGCAATGCGCGTTGCCTCTGCCAGCTGCGCTGCTTCCTGTTCTCTTGGCATCAGGTGCAGAGGGCGGGGGTTTGGGCTGCTGGACTGAACACCCAGACCTACCCCCGACCCAAGATCTGCCCTGCCAGCCTCATCGGGTAGTTCCTCTTGAGCTAAAAATGATTTTCAGCACAAAGGAAAGCTTACCTGGGCAGGGCTTGGATAAAGAGAAGATGGAATGGTTGGTATTGAAGGAGGCTGGAGGTAGGTTCTTACTGGTGTTCTTATAGTTTGTTTACTCATTATCTTCTTCGTTAATGACTTGGACATACAGAATAAGGATGTGCTTATGGACCTACAGCTAACAGTTGTCGTCAGCAGAGAAAGGGTATGACTAACCGTAACACAGAGTTGTTCTGAAGTTCACAGTGGAGAATAGAAGGTCCAACCTTGGAGAAAGGCCTTGGAGATGTTTCTTCTGTTGTTTTTTCCAGCAGTCCGCCAACAGAGAATGATAAGGACCTGCGTAACTGTATTAGTTCATTTACTGAAGAAAATACCAAAAACAACAACACAGCAAATGAGATTGAAGGTTATACTAGTCAAGGAATTTCAAGTATAGAGAGGAAGAAGGGGGAAAAAAAACGGCATCAAAGCAAGACTATACTAAATTTTAGTAGCTTCTTGGGAAGCCAAGAAACCTAACTAATGGTCCAGAAAAAGACCAAAGAAAATGGACTGGATGCATCAGACCTACAAAACAAAGCCAGGGATGAGATGTAGCTGGCGGGGGGAGGACAGAGAGAAACACTTCAAGGAGCAAGAAGTCATTTAAACTCAAAGAAAATGTTGCCGTAAGAACAAATAGGTATAAAATAGACATGAATAAATGCTGACTAGAAATTAAGATAAATGTTAAATTTTATAGTAGTGGGATTCTGGAGTAGCTTTAAAATTAAGACAGAAAACTTAAAAAACAATGTGTGTTCAAGATGGTATTTATGAGGGAATCTATGTAGTCTGGTGTCTGTGAAGAGAGAGGACTAAACTAGATAATTCAGCAGCTGCTTTTCAGAGGTTTTGATCATCTGTTGTATTACTTTTAGAAAAGGAAAAGTACTATACTACTACTCAGTGTATTTGCCACATGCAAAGTACAAATTACAGTACATCCTTTTACTTTAGCTTTTGCTTTAGACAATATATATTCAGAAGCTGTAATGCCTCTATTGTTAAGTATAAATTTCCAAGCAGTAGAGTGCTTATGATAAGCACTGCAAAAAGAATACTGATTTTTAAGCTTTTGGGACTTTTTACAGTTAAAAACAAGCTCGCTGCCCCTCCAGCCCACAAAGCAAAAACACAGCAATTTCTTTGCAGTTCCTTCTCAGAGATTCTGTGTTTAGCAGTGTGTGTGTTGAAGAATGCAGTAGATCAGGAATAGAGATGTAGAGGGCACTGTCAGTGTTTTGACAAAGAATCTCTTCCATAAATTTTAAGAAAGGATGCAGGTGGAAGGGATTGGTGTAGCCACTCTTCATTTAACACAGCAGCATTCAGTGATTTACTAGTAAAAGTGAATTCCCAAAGCTAAGAACAGTGTTATAAGGCATGATCCAGTACCAGCTGATGCTGGCAAGAACAGCAGCAGCAGGTAGTTGATCAAATTGACAGCTGAGTGTCAAAGGTAAGGATCTTCTCTCATACATTGCCCACAAGCAATGTTTTCCACATCACAGGAGCATTCATCTCTAAATGTGTTTAAACTGTTGCCTAGAGAGAAGTCCAGGGTTAGATCCACATGAAGTTCACAGGTTAAGATTAGATTTGAAAATTAAAGGTTTCTGGGAAGCTCCTAAGTATGTGGAGGCTTTCACTGACAATGTTGACCTCTTATTCCCAAGCCCTTAAACTGCCCAAATGATAGCATTTCAGCTATGAAGACATTTCAAACTCTCCTAAGTTTTGATGTTCAGTGTTTGATAGGTGCTCATTGCAGGAGCAAGGAAGGTGGTGAGGTCTTGAGTCAATTCTCTCCCACTCGGAAACAAGATTGGGGATTAGCAAGGCTACTGCATTAGCAATTAGTAGAATTTAGTAGCAGCATCACCAGTCTATGCTTGGTTTATCAAAATAATAGAACTTGGGCACTGATGCAGAGCAGATCCCGAGGCCTTCCCCTTCGCGCTGTGGGAATTCCCGGCCGGGAGCTGCGTGGGGCGGCCGCAGGACGCGCCGCCGCTGCGCGGTGCCTGCAGGTCTGGGTGGAGTAGCTGTGACAGAGGGAATTGTAGCATAAAGAACAACAGTATGGAGTTGGGGTTTGTTCTTCACTGCTTAGCAGACCGCTGGTAATGGAAGCGCTTCACAGGAAGATCAGACAGACTCTGGTAGAGCTGTGAAGTTGTAGACAAATGGAGCACAAATGTAAGCTGAGCATGACTTACACTTGTCAGCACCAGGCACTGGATCCCTTGTTTGATATTTGATTACCCAGATGGCAGAACTTGTGGAGGTACTAAAACAGATACTGAAGAATGACCCACAGGTATTGCTTGCCCACTGCCCCTTAGTGCCTCCTGCAGTTTTGTTGAGTAACAACAGCATCCATCGTGCGCTGTGTGCCTTGTCTAGAGGAAGAGCCCCTGCACGAGGTGTTGACAGTCTAGGAGCAGCAACAGAGCAAAGAAACGGAAGTAATATAGGCCAAATAAAATCACACTGCCTGTAGGTAATACAGTTTTCAGAGGTGCAAAGAGCAAGTTGAAGGATGACAGTGTCAAGTGCACTTTATGAGTTTGAAAAGCATCAAGACTTTTTCCTTTGTTCTTGTTAAAGAAACATGAACCAACACTACTTGTCTACCTCTATTTGTCTTAACTTTGAGTTAGTTTAACTATTTGGGCTGGTATCAGTTCTGGGGAGAGATTTGAAGAAAAGCAGACAGCTAGGGCAGCAGAGGGCACTTGGATAGAGGGGGCAACATGAAAGCAGGCATAGAGAGAAGGATAAATAACCAGCTCCCACCATCTGTGCCGTGAAGGTGGGGCCAGATGCAGGGTAACATGAGGGGACGTGTAGGCAGAGCCCTGAGTCCTCACGGGAAGGACACAGGAGTATGTGGTGTAGGAAAGAAGCCAGTAAAAGAGCTTGATGATGGCTCCCAGTGTGGGGCCGGGAGGCAAACGGGTGCTGCACTGTAAGTAAAGGACCTCTCCAGTGACACGAGATAGCAGCAGCAAGGGAAGGGGAAGGCAGCAAAGGATAACCAAGAGTGAAGTCCTCCTTACCCTGTCCGACTAACACTGGGTACCGTCACTACCAGTGTTTCTGATGATTGTGAACAATTTCAGGTACAATTCTGTTAGCTGTCTATGGCATTGGAGAGGTGTTGATAAACCCTAGTGAATAACTGAATGAAGCCAGAAGACCTAGAAGTTGGGCTCTTTTATCATTTTTTTCAATAGGAAGAAGTTTTCATTTATGTATTTATTTAAAGCAAAACATGGTTCATCAGTGAGGGTGTTACCTAGCATTTTAGTAACAGGTATTTCTGTTCTGTCCTCTGGAATGATCAATCTAGCAATTAGTATAGAGAAGTGAAAGCACCAAGAGGGCTCCCCTGTTTCAGACTTCGCTTCAGGAGACCTTTTGTTGTTGCTGTTCTTGCAAACAGTGACCGGGTGCCTGGTGAAAACACCGCGCGCCAAACCCATCTGGACACAGTTACAGGGGCTTCATGCCATATGTTTGACCTTCTGTACCAAGAATCAGGCCACCTTCGGCTCAAAGGCAGGTGGGATACATAGTGGTTACACAGGAGAAACAAAATCAGTCTCCAGCTTGGAGCTATGGCTGCAAGAAACCTCAGTGACCCTCACGTCCACTCTGTGCTTGAGGAAGTCAGGAGATTCAGGTAGCAAGGGACCCTCTCCGTGGAGATGGCCTCTGCCCAGACCTTTCTTGCCAGAGCAAACAGGACGTGGTGCCGGTAGCACCGTGTCCAAGCCATGAAGAGCAGCCTTCCCCCTGCTAGGGGCGCGCTGAGCCCCTGGGCGCGGGGCTCGCAGACAGAGTTTGCTGCTTTCTGCACAAGGCTGAGGAGGGTTTGCTAAACCCTGAGAGGGTGCTGTGAGGACAGCATGCATTAATGATAACTCGGAGGCTGCGGCGCAGAACACCATTAGCCCGTCAGACAGCACAGGCAATATGTAAGTGACAGTAGCAGAACAGAGGAGCAGCTTATTATTTCCCTAGTGGTACTCTGCCATACCAGTTCCCTGCTATACTCTGCTTTTCTTCTAGGATTCATTTTATGCATCTCCTAGCCTGAAGAAATATAAGTATTTAAGAATTAAATTAGTAAAAAATAATGCTTATTAATAGTAAGTTGAGGGAAGAGGAAGCTGAAAAATTTTACACTGTCCTAAGCGCACTCCTTAGACCTGTCTTTGTGTTAGTGGCTCTAACTTGTTTTATTTCAAAAAGTCGCACACGAGCATCTGTGATCCTGGCAACTGCCGCTTCTCTTCAGGGCTTCTCCTGCCTTATCCCAGCTTCGGAGTTGCGGAAAGCTGCAGGAGGGGAGAGGCAGGAGGCGCCCGCGCAGCCTCCCCTGCGCAGGCCCGCGCCGCCTGCGCGCGGCACTTTCAGTAGTCGACAGCCAACAGTGCTGTGCTCTTGTTCAACAGAAAAGGTAACGAGGGAGGAACTTTCTGCTTTAGCAGTCTAGCTGTTTTCACCTTCTGTTCTATTCCCACATCTTTGTCAGTGTTAAGCCCTTCCCAGAGCCAGCTCGCAGGATGAGAAGGACAGTCTTAAAAACAAAATCCAAATTGATCCGAACATTTCAGTAATAGACTGAATTTTTGAAGAAACTGAAGGTAAAGAAGTGAAACTTCTGTGGTAGAAGCTACACTCCGCTGAGAGTAATAAACTCTCTGTTTGCTCAT